AGAAGCATTCAATATAGAGAGGTTCTGAGTTACAAGCATGCATTTCTAAAGTGTCTGTACTGTATGTGTGAAATAAAAGAAAGGAAGCCAGAAATAAATTGCTAAAGAAAGAGAAGGCAGGGGATAACTTGTTGTTTCACTTAATGAAGCTTGCTACTGTGCCTGGCCTTGTGGCGGCCTCTTAGTGCTCTTATTTGCCTTATTAATATGCATGCTAATGTACCTATTTTATGGCCCAACAGTTCTGATTCACTTTAAAATCAATTATCCATCTGGTACACCCATACCTCGTGCAGGCTCAAATGTGTATTAATTTCAGCAAACATACATCGGCACAACACAATAAAGATAAATGCCCCGATTAGAGGCAGTAAACAAAGGAGCTAGGGATGGCTTTAATGAGATTTGGCACAAAAGGAGCTTACACTTTCTTAAATAATGAGCCTAGGGTCCCTTTTTCCAAATGCAAATTATATAAAGGAATGTTTCGCTGCCCTTGTTCCAATTTCATTTAGATAAGAGTGTCTCCAAACAAGTTGGCTGTTAATATTCTCACATGAGCACATCACTGCCTTCCTGCTTGGCATCTCCCAGCGGAGGGAAAGAGTGCTCTCCTCTCCGCAGACACTTTAGTCTGTAATAAGTTCTGAAAAGTTCACTGTGCTTGTTAAATACTTTGACCAGATGAGATGGAGCTGGGAATGGCTTCAATAGAGTTGACAGACGCACTTGGCTGGACTCATCAACTGTTTTACCACCAACAACTGTATAATCACTTTCAGAGAAAGGTCAAGAATGCAGTAACTGAGACAATGGAAGTAACTTTGCACAAACAAATGAGGAGATTAATGTATAGAAATTAGCTAATAGAAATAATTTGCTGCCTTTCAGAGTACAACAATTTATGTTGTTTGTTAGAAACTGTAAAGCCAGGAAATTATGATGACATTTTTTTTCCAGTAAATGTTTTAAGCTGCTTGATTACTGAAATAATTCAATCTACGGTGTTGCTATAGTTTTTTAACACTTAAAACAATCAGAAAATGAATTTTGTATGATGTATTTGAGCAGTTTACATACATCCTTGAAGGGATCCAGTCACAGACTGTGCCTATTAAAAAAACAAACACCAACAACCTTATGTACATGTTAAAATAAAGCAATTTATAAAGAATATGGTGCAAATGCAGTAGAAACATTGAGTTGAGTTCTATTTAAAGAGATTTGATAATTCACAATGTAGGGCAAAAATTATGTTTACAAGTGGGAGACTTGATTTGTGACTTGATTAGAGTTTCAACAGTTCAACAGTCTGATGACAGCGAGAAAAAATCTGTTGCAGAACCTGCAGGTCTTGCATCAAATGCTTCGAGGCTTTCCTAGAGGACAGCCTCATAGTGTTTACTCAATCACTTTAGAACCTGAAACCTTTTTTTGCACCATACTCGATCAAAAGAAAGGAGCTTTGTTTAACACTGTTGCTATGTGCTGGCAGATCTTACTTCTCCATCTACGTGCTAGCCTCCTCAGCATTAGCTAACACTTCAATGAACATCAATGTTTATATTGTATTCCAAGCACTTCACTTGTCTTATCCCTGTTGGCATCCATATTTTCTTCAATTTTGGACTTTTCTTTTTTTTTTTTTTCACACCTCTTGGAGAAAAAATGGCTTCTGCTCCATTCCTTACTTGTTTACTGTTGTGACGATGTGCAATATCTTCTTATGTACGCTTAAACTTATTAACAAATGGAACAAGAACTAAATAAAAAATCTGAGAAATAAAATCTAAGCCAACAGGAAACCACAGTTCAATCAGATAACCTTTATAAAGAAACCAGAAAAAGCTAGTCACAAAAATGAACCTTTTAATAGCCACACACCTGATATAAGATTATACCCATGCCTCTGAGGAATGCCAAACAAACACATTTCTGCATGTTGAATGGTGTGCATTTATAGAGTGGTATTACATCTTGGGTTTTTAAAGATGAAAGAAAAATAAAACATTTAAAATAAAATTATGAGTAAAGCGTAAAGAAAAAAAACCTAGATGTAATTTAAATGTACAATGATAACCACTGTTTGGTGAAACGAGCTGATAACCCTTTTTCTGCTCTTAGGTGGCTAAAAAAAATTCCCGTCTGTATTATTTACTTTACTGTATTTAAGAAACTTGACATGTAAACTAAAACAAAATAAAACAATGCCAAACATAGTAAAAATGTATTTGGAAAATAAATAATGGAAATAACTTGAATCAGTTTAAAATGTGCCACTATCTAGTAGTAAACATGCTTCAGCATTGAATTCATCTGCTTTAGGTGGGAGGAGCCATTTTCAGAGGTACCGTTTGTTTGTAATGGAAAAGGACTTTAAGTGATGGCAAATCCATTTGGTTTAGCCATACAATCAAATTATTTGCATATGGAATGTGAACGACAAATAGATAGCTAGGTAGATAACTAGACACACAGACAGATAGCTGAATAGATGGGGGGTGAGCACAGGGGCAGGGAGGCAAAGAGTGCAATGGTGTTAAATAAAAAGGGACCCAGGCATTGGCTGGATGGTAATGAAGGGAGGAGGGAGGGTCGGCAGCTGAGGTCCCTGTAGATGAGATCTCTCTCTGACATGTGTGTCCCCTTCATTACCCATTAAGGGGGGCACAGTGATGAATCCTTAATATGACATTACACCAATTTTCCTCTTCATTTAGTCTGCTAATGTGCTGGTCTGCTCCTATATGCCCAGGGGCTGCCTGTACCAGACTCAACCCGAAATAGACCACAGTGGCCACTGGTGGCACACCTTGAAGCAGCCTAATTAGGGGCAGCAACCACCTAATAGAGCTTTCTAGATGAGGGTTAGTTTACTTAGTTTGTTTTTCTTAGCAGGTAGAAACTGTGCCTACATGATGAAGCTCTGGGAGCTGGCGGCCAACCAGTAGGGCATGTATAAGGTGTGTATCTGACACTTGATTGTAGAGATATCAATTGCATATATTTGAGGGCAGGGATGCCCTCTGTCACCTTTCCTGTTTAATCTTTATGGCCAGCATTTCTAGTTTGCAGCTGAATGCAAAGAGGCTGGAAGGGGAACGAGGTCCTCTAGGTCAGAGGCCATGGTTATTGATGGGAAAAAGGTGGCATGTTCCCTTTGGCTTGGATGAGAGTTCCTGCCTCGAGTGGAGGAGTTCAAGTATCTTGGGGTCCTTTTGCAATCGAGTGGAGAATGGAATGGGAATTTGGAAAGATGGATCAGTGCGGCTGCTGCTATAATGCGGATGCTGCACTGGTCTGTTGTGGGGAAGGGTGTGCTGAGAGAAAACGCAAAGCTCTAGATTTACGAGTGGGTCCTAAATCCAAGAACTCTAGATTATGAATGAAACAACGAGATTGTGGATACTAGATACTGAAAGGAAATGTCTCTGCGGGGTGGCTTGGTACTCCCTTAGAGATAGGGTGAGGAGCCTGGTCATTCAGAAGGGACTCTGATTAGAGCTGCTTCTCCTCCACATTAAGACTCCCTGGACACCTTTCTTAGGAGGTGTTCCAGGCACGTCCCACCAGAAGTAGACCCAGGACACACTGCAGGGACTATTGGGCACATTGGGCTCCCCCAAGCAAAGCTGAAACTAGTGTCTGGGGAGAAGGAAGTCTGGGAGTCTCTACTGAGACTGCTTCCCCTGCGACCTGGTCCCTGATAAGCGGAAAATGATAATGAGGAGCAGGTAAAAAAAATCTGTGGTTTTAACAAATACGAAACTGGAAAAAATATATATTTTTCAATATAAAAACAGCTCCTCTTTGAAAGGTCTTTAGAGGACCAGTGAACAACCAGCACTATACAGATTTAGGAACACATCAGACAGGATAAGGAGAAAGTCTGAAGCGTCTAAAGTCAGGGTTAGTATATATATTGTTTGTTATAAGTTATAACAAACAATAATGACACCGAATATATTTATCAATTGACCATGCAAAAGTGGAGAGTATGGCACAACTGCACCCCTACCAACACATGAACATTCATCTACACTTTCATGAAAGGCAAAGAGAGGATAAATCAGAGAAGCAGCCAATATGCAAATTATAACTGCAGAAGATGCAGAGATCTACAGCTCAGGTGAAAGAATTTAATGACAGATATGATTGTAATGGAAAGGTGGAAAGAAGACAACCATTGTGGAAAGAAAGCCATGAAAATATTTGTTTGCTATTTTTCCATAAGAGATAACATATGGAGTTTGATGATGAGGATGGATGAGACTAAAACTTTCTGCGATTTACATTGATGCAAATAATCCTAAAACTCATCTCTTTGGTGGCACACTGTAATAGTTTAATGCTGCGGGATTGGTGATCTTCAGCAGAGGGTAACTGGTCAGGTTATTAAAAGCTAAATAGGAATGAAAACCTATTTGAGGCTGCAAAAAAAAAAATGAGACTAGACTGAACAGTCAGCCTCAGGCAGATATATGACCATGAACAGACAGTCAAAGCAAGGATGGAATGGTTGGGACAACACATTTGCTCAGAGACCCAGAGAAACCCACTCCCGCAGACTGCCTCTCTGGGTCTCTGAGCAAGACCCTTAACCCCCGATTGCTCGCCGGGCGCTGCACAGTGGCAGCCCCCTGCCATCAAAGGGCATGAGTTAAATACAGAGAGTTAATTTCTCCATTGTAAGATCAATAAAAGTTCAATTTATTTTTATTTATTTATTATTTATTTCTTATCTTTAATGGCCCAGTCAAAGTCCAGACTAATACTAACTGAAAAGATGTAGCAAAACTTAAAAATAAACACAAAATAACACAGACTGACCAAAATCTGAATTAGTCTGAAAAGCTGAAGGGGTAAAATTCCTTTTGATAAATGGTAGACATACCCTGAAAGACATTGCAGAGGTTCTGATAATGCATCCTATTCTATGAACTTCAAAATAATGTATTCATGTATGTAAGTTATTGACAGTAAATTTGAAACCAACTCACTCAGCATGCCCATCCCCAGCATGAAGGCATCCATGGTGTAGGGCAGACCCCTGGCTCGCCCTCGCGTACCTGGTGGGAACATCACCTCCTTGGGCTGGGCCTTCTTACATTCTACCTATGTACACAGACAAACACACACACAGATGCACACAGACAAAGACAACCCATTAAACTGTGTAGGTACACAAGTAGACAGATCTGACAGGGCTGTCTCAGCTCTTAAGGCTGGTTTTGTGTCTGACTCACACACAGCTAGATGTTTTCCATAGGAGAGAAAGAGAGCGTGAGACAGGGAAAACACAACTAAGTCAATCTGGACTCACATTTTTGAGAAAAGACTCCAAGGGAAAGTTAAAATCGTGCTCCTCCTGTATTAAAGCAAAGGTTACTGCTCCAGTGAGCATGTGCCCGGAGCCTCAGGGAAATACAAGCTAAAGACTTTTCAGAGTTTTGAGACATGAGAGTAGAATAAGCTGCTTCCACTATGCAGAGTTTTTGGAAGTCAAACATTATAAACACCAAAGAATTGATAACTGCAACAATAGCAGTTTAGTCTTTCACACAGTAAAAAGGTGTTTTTTTTTGGTTAAAGTCCCCTGTGTCCCACAGCCTTCTTCCACCTGCAGCACCCATCTCAACTCTGCATTTAATCCTCTTGCTCTCCCTCTCACACATATACAGGTTTGCTCATTTTCCCATTTAGCAAGACTGACATTCCCTCCTCCTACATAACACATATCAAATGAACGATGTGACAGGGGCAGATGAGGGGAGGAAGAAAGATGAGAGTCCTATTTACCACGTATCCATCCTATCTGTAGGAATTATAGCAGCTGACGGCGTTGCCGCGGCCCTGCGTCTCTCGGTTGTTCTTTGGTAGGCTGAGTCCGTTCACCATGCTGCACAATCTATTTGCTCCACTGCCTGCTTGGCATCAGCCTGTCCATCTGTTTGTCTGTTTGCCTCCTGGCTCTTGCCGGCTTCTCCCCACTGCCTCCACTTAAGCGGGGCTTTCTCGGCTGCTGCGATTCACATGTCATCCCGGCCTGCTGCACAAGACAGGCACCTGCACCGCTGCAGCATGCACATCAGCTAAAGGTATAGCTCGGCATCCATATAAATAGGTCTGCAGCTCCTGACAGGCCAGGGGTGAACATTATTATTCACACGAAGCGGTAGGCACAACATGTTACTGCGTTTTTCCAAACTGAAGAAATACTTAATGCCTTGAGAGGTTTTCGTGCTGAATCAATAGTGTAACAAGCGCTTTATACTACATCCAGAGAACAAGACATGTAAAAAGAGAACACTAATGAAAAAGGTTTCCATCACAGAGGGGAAGCTGCTGCGTTGCAAAGCTGTGATTTGTTGCTGTTAGCAGCCCCTTTTATTTGAAGCAGACTGACTAAAATACACAGTTCCCTCAGCCACTTTGTAGCTGTCACAGCCACTCTGGCCTCTACATTCGCCTTGTGCGGTTTGACATAGTGCTGAGGCGAGCGCAGGCTCTCCTATCGTCAAGAGAATGACCCATGGAAACAGGAGTTGGCTGGGACTTCTGAGTGTGTTGGAAATCTCAGCACACTGCTGGGATTTTCATATGTTCACATGGCTGAGTGACAAATGCAGTCGAGTTCCACCCACGCCGCAGACACGCTGCCGTCTGATCAGCCGTCCTTCTGTAACCCCTGCCACTTCCAGCGAGTTGGACGCTCAGGTGGCCTGCTGGGGGTAAGACAGAGCCCCGTGTGTGAGTCATGCCTACATGCTCTCAGATACGAGTCTTTGATATTCATAGTGAGGGCTCCTTGTCATGGATTTAAAAATCCAGTCAGAAGCGTAGATGTGTGGTGGTGTGAGTGTGTGGGTGTTCACCTGCTTCACAGACAGGGAAGTGTGTGAGGGAGGCAGGCAGGAGCTTTCAAGATTCAGCAAAGTTGAAATAAAACGGGAAGAAAGGGAGAGAGGACACGGAGACAATTCAGCCGCTGTGAATGAGAAGCTACAAAAGAGGTTCAGCAACTGTGAGGGCAGAGATTCAAATTTTGCCAAGTGGAAAGTTTTAGCGACTGAACCTGAGCAGCTTAAAAACAGGTTTTGGCTTAGAGTATTTCCAAGAATTATAGCTTGTTGAACTTGTCAAGGACTTCTGAATTAAACTCGCCGCAGTGTGATGTACTGGGACCCACAATATAAACACCAAGGTGCCATTGTGTAGCATGGTGCCCTGTAGGGAAAGGCGACACCCCATTAACCTGCCTTGACTTTGTGGAGAAGGGGACAAAACTCAAAAGGAGAAGTGACTCAGGCTATAACAGTCTCAAACACACAGTTACAGCTTTAAACCTTTCAGGCACAGCGTTCAAAAGTTATCTAAACCTAGACGGTTTTAACAAAATCTGAAATGATTCTTCTATGAATGCCTGTATGCAATGCAAAACCTCTGAACAGTTAGATGTGTATAAAACCAGCTGTGCTGGTCAGACTTCACTACATACTATAGGGCAACAGGAGGCTTTAGATGATGCTTAGGCAACTTGCTGCACAGTTTAACATGAGTATTAAATAATCCAAGCTGGCATCAGGCCTAAAACAGTGTGTGGTACAAGTGGACAGATGTTGACTTATAGAAGACAGAATGCTCTGTTTAGAAGGTCTTTTACATTAATTAAGCATTTAGTATTGCACATCCAAAATATTCACAATAATTGCCATAATCTAGTATTTGGGAAAACTATGTGTTCATTTATTCATGTTCTTATTGATCAGAATTAGCAGCATAGGTTTTAATTTACCTACAAAACTGTTCACATTGTCAGTAACAATGTTGGGATGGTTAACAGGTCTTTATATAAAATAAGAGCATCAAGGCAAGAATGATTACTTCTTTTTGCCTGTTGTTGCCGCATAGTTGGCTGAAAGCAGGCTTGCACTGGTTGTGTGAACTGTTAGTGTGTCAGATGTTGAAGAATGACACCTTTTGCCACTTTTAATCTCCTTATTTTGTTTTAGAGCGGCTGTAGATGAACTAATAGTAGTTATCAAATAGGTTGTATCAGACTAATTAATATCAACTTATGCTTATTTTCTATATCATTCTAATATTGACTGGTCTAAATCTAGAAAATTCTGCAGAAAGGTATAACACAAATACATAGATAATGTTTATATATGGTTTAAGGTTAGGATAGGATTTTCCATAATTTCCAGGATTATTCCACTCCAGCTCTCATTCTTACATATGATCTTACATTTAATTGAAGCTACCTTTTCTAGGTGGTAGGATTCTAGGTGGATTCTGTAATATGAGTGTACCACTTCCTGCTGCAATTAAAGATTTACAAATCCTCACACTTTTAGCTCCATGCTTTTACTTGAATGCCATATTTGGTTTCCTCTGTTTCTGTGTAAATAAAAATAAATAGATCAGTTTAGAATAAGCGATCAAAGGAATGTGTTTCCAGAATTCCTAATCTCTATCTGGCCTCTCTCGGGCAAACTTTCCAGTTTTCCAGGGAACCAAGACTGCCTCCCATGATGGGTGGCGTAATCGGTTTTCCTCTGAATGTGGACGCATGTATTTTCAAATCAACAGTATCAAGAACCTGCTGTAGGTTCTGTAATGACATTTTTACAGCATCTTGCAGTCTGCTTTTTAGGGTGAGCTCACAGTGGGACCAGAAAATGTCTGCAGTTGTGTTCAATTTCCTCCCATTTTAGACAATATTTTAAAATTATAAATCGTTGATTTTCATTATTTAGAGACATTTTTCGATCCTTTCCAAGATATCGTCTTTTTATACTAATCTCAGCATGGTTTTCATTGTCATTATAACAATCAGGAGAACAACAGACTTATTGTCTGGGGAAAAGGGCAAATTTCCTTCAAAATGCTGGCGCAGTAATAATGTGCTCATCATGTGTAACTAATGTGAAATATGTCCATGTTTAATTTTATAGAGCCAGGTAAATCAGGCAAAGATTGTACTAAAGTAAGAAGCAGTGATTTGAATTACTTAAGTAAGAGAAAAAGATATTGGCAAATAGATTTACTGATCATAACATCTGATGTAATTTGATCAAAATGATGTAATCATAAATAAAAATAATAATAAATAAAAAATTATTTAATAATAATTTTAAGACTAGGAATGTCTTCCATCAACAATATCTACAGTTAACTGTGTTTTCCAGAGAACTCCAAATATAACAGAAGATAAAATATCATTGGAACACTGAAGCTAATTTACCAACAACACGACTCCCTTTAGAGCAAACTAGAAGAGTCTGGATCGTTTGTTCTTCATTCAGTGAAGTTATTTGTCAGTAGTTGAGTAGCCAGAAATGTATAATTCATAATATTAGTCAAATAAAAGTAAAGCTATGATGCAGTAAAACTGCTCCTAGAAGTTACTAAATATTACTCTCCATATAACCACGAAAGAATTTTAACCATGTGGGAATAAATTGTATTTTTCACCAGCAATCGTTTTTTTTAACGAGATTTTACACAACATTAAGGAAGAGTGAAGTTGTCTAGTTATATTCCTTCTTTTATTTTCCACAATAAAAAGGATAAAACGTATTAAAATATTTACAGCATGCACACAGGCAGTTCTAGGATGTCCTTAATATTTCACGACTGTAAATCTACTGTAAATACTGTATATATCTACAGTATATGATTCTTCTAATATTATTGGAATAATTTAAAGTAGCAAAAAATACATAAAAATTATACTTCCCTGCTGACAACACAACATAAAACAAGATAACCCTTAATTACTATAAAATACATATACTGCATAATAACTGGCCATGGTTCATTTATTGTAGTTTTTTACATTTTTCTTTCTTCATTCAAAGGGATAAACCTTAATAATCAATACTTCTTATCATATTTACAGCAGTTACTATAGTTGTCTTTATTTTGATTTAAAAACGGTCATATCCAGTTTTTCTTTAGTTTAAATACCACGAAACCATGAAATATTGGTATTTTACTCAATGTTTTCATGCTGAACGAATGTCATATGTGAGCATGTGGTTTAGCTCAGGTTGCTTTTCTATATTAACAAACATTCAAGCTCTACACTGACATTATCACACAACCCA